GCAAGGTGAGGTCTTTGGGCTTTAGACTCCGGGACGCGAGGCCCCGCCGGCCTCCCGGACCCCACCTTTTCCCTTGTCCTGCCCCGCTGGCTGCTTGTCGCCCTCTGCAACGCGGGGCGCCCCGCACCCCGGTCTCCGCCTTTGCTGCATTCTCTCTGAGGGCCCTCCCGGGCGGACCCCGTGGACCCTGCGCCAACTCATTGAGAAAAGCGCCCGATTGCGGTCCGTACTGGATGGACGCTTGGCGGGTCTTTGGGATTAATCCCTGGAAACTCCGAAATGTGTTTCGAAAGGTTCTCCAGTCTTGGATTCGTGTCCCTTAAAAAGTGAACGTGAAATGCACATAAAATGTAACGAACAACCGAGTGTGGTCTGTTTCCTCCACATTGCTCCCTCTTTTTGAGAAAATGACTTTTTTTTTTTTTTGTCCTCAATCAACTAGGGAAATTCCATGAAGTCCGGTATTTTAAGCCTGTTTGTCATCTATAATTTATAAATGCTGTATGCCTTTGTGGTAGCTGTGTGTTCAGTTACCTGCTGAAACTTGGTTTTATTTTCAAGTGTTGAATGTGTATGTAAATTACTCCAGGCCGCGAGTATCTTGAGGTGTAAAAATATTATTAATGCAATAAACTCAAGTTGTAACCAATGAAATAGTCAGACAGACCTTCACTTTTTTATTGGTCTTTTAAACTTAAAAGTCTCTGCTCTCGAAGCATGCAGATAATGAGCCACAACCTTACGTGCAGAATCAACATAAAAGTTTTTTCCGGCAGAAAAATGAAAAATAGGAAAAGACGAGGCACTAGCCCTCAAATTTAGTAACTTGGAGCCATCTTAAAAACTTTTCAAGAGGACTTAAAAATTTTTGTAGAAAAATGGAATGGAAATACTGAATTTATTTGGGTGCAAACAATTCTGAAATCATGCAGGTTTTTTTTTAAAAAGAATATGTATTTTCTGTGAACTTTTTGACACATAACCTCTTAAAAGTTTAAGGCACCTTTGAATAGAGAAGGTATTTTTCTTCTGTTAGGTGAATAACCAGTGTTTCTTTCAAAGTGTACCAACTGAAGGTATCATTGTAGTTGTTGACATAGTTTTTCACATGGGAAGGTCTTGATTGGAGTGTCTTAATTTATTTAGAAATTGAAGTTCTACTAAAAGTGGGAACTTGTTCAAGATTCTTTAGCATTCTAAAGGTGGTTTTTGCCCTAAAGTGTAGGTACTGTATAGGAATTTTGATAATAGTAAATTTCTAATTTTTCTACTTTCCTGGTCCTTTTTCCTTCTAGCTTTCTTGATTTACTGTGTAGGTTAATTAATTGCCTCAGCCTATCTCTGATTTGTTAGTTTACTTTATTACAATTTTTAAATATTTCAACACCACCCTGATCCTCCAGCAAAGTTAGAGAAGGGTCATGAAGGCTGTTCCCTGCCTCCTGGCTTTAGTAGCTACAGGAATTTTATCCATAGTAATTTTCTGATTTTTTTCCTAATTACAGAAATGAGATAAAACTAAAATATTATCCTAATAATGTGGCTTTGTTTTGCTTCCTTCCTCTCTGCTGTTAGCTACCATACTGGTAGACCAGGTTTAGTTTTACCATTTAGTTTTGGGCCTGTGTGAAGTAATACAATAGAGGCCATGTGTTGAGCAAACTTTTTTTGCTATAATAGAGTTTACTTTTTTTTTTTTAATATGTAAGTTTAAATGTTCTGATTATTTGCTTTGGTTTGGAATTTCTGTGAGGATGGGAATCATGGATTTTTCAAGGTCCCCTATCCCATTGGGTTAAGACCCTTAAAATGAGCTAAAAAGGTCATGAAAAATGCTTTTGAGAAAAACTTGCATGGATTTTAAAGGTTTTTGTTCCAAACTAAACTTTTGTCACAAACTTTTTGAAGTCTGGTGGTAAAGAAAGGAACATGATTGATACTTGAGGATTTTAGAATGCTAGTCCAATACTTCTGTTAACTAATTCAGAAAGATGAAAAAGAGTATTGAACTGTGTCATAACCAGGCAGTTCCATTTTGAGAAAACCTTTAACAAAAGGTGTTGGGGTTTGTCTTCCTTAAAAAGCAGAATTCAGGGGCAGAGTTGCATAGTTAGTTTTTAAGTAGTCCTCTACTAAGGAAACAGGTTATATTTTGATGTTTTGAATTTAGAAAACAAAGGCTTTACCAAGTCTACCTTCTGAAGGCCAGTTAACTAATGTACTATTATATTAAGCCCACTTTTATGGGACCCGAGAAAATTAATACCATCTCTTCCATTTCCCACTCTGAACGGTTAAGAGTTCTCAGATATCTATGATTTTTAGGTTGAGGGAAATAATTGGAGATTATGCAGAAGGAAACTTTTCTCAAAAAGTAAGCTAAAACTACCCTTGTCTCCAGTTTGCGCCTTGTTTCTCCAGACCTCCTTTCATGTCATTAAATAGCTGGGCACCATGTTAAGGAGCCCACTCGACCAACTGTAGGGGGCGTGGGGTCTTCTGGGGCTGAGTTATGTTTATCTAGTAAACCTATGGTAAGTCAGGTGTTGGAATCCTTACTTCCACTGGATTCTGAAAACGCTTTCAGCTTCTGCTTTATGATAGTGAACTGAGGAGGTTGAGCACATGGAAGGGAAAAGCCCTGTGAGGCGGTTGAAACCTGTTCTGAACATTTCTCGGCAGTTGGCAAGAGCAAGCGATAACCCTTTCTAGCCTACTACTGTTCTTCCTTATTGATAACGTCTTGACTTTTTCCCGTTGATTATGAGCTTTGGTGAATGGTGTCATTCCTTCCCAGACCCAATTTCTTTTTTTTTTTTTTTTGGAGAGTTTTTATTTATTTATTTATTTTGCTATAGGGCACGTGCGCTCGCCAGAGAGAGAGAGAGAGACAGCGAGAAATCACCCCCAGGGGGAGAACATAAAACAATTAGGAAAAAAAAGTAACAAAATGACAAGAAGAAATTCACATATATTGATAATAACATAGAAGGACAATGAATTAAATTCCCCAACTAAAAGGCTAAAAAATTCAGATTCAATCATTTCACACACAAGCAGATTTAAAAGCAAATTTCTTTTTTTTTTTTTTTTGGAGAGTTTTTATTTATTTATTTATTTTGCTATAGGGCACGTGCGCTCGCCAGAGAGAGAGAGAGAGAGACAGCGAGAAATCACCCCCAGGGGGATTGGCCACACCGCAATCCCTTCTCCATTCTCTCGTGATCTTGGGCATGTACGCACACGCACCTGGCACCCGGCACCCGGCGTGAGTTTTAAGCCACCGGGTCCGGGACGTGAACCGTGGTCGACTACATGGGAGTCCAGTGACATAGCCATTACGCAAACTGCTGGTCCCCCCAGACCCAATTTCTGAGCCCTGTGACATCCAGCTTCTCCAGCAGCACGTTACTACTGCCACAGAGCTGGTCCCCAAATTTACCAAGTTTTGTAGACAAGTTTTCTGCTACATTTGTAACTTCTTTTTTCCTTTTTTTAAATTGAGGAAGTGTGACCTATCAGAGCTGCTTGTGTCTTTGCTCTGGATCGGTAACTTGCACATCGCGCCTTAAGGTCCTCATTTGTGACTTCTAGTTTAGCAGGTCCATAGACTACAGTTTTTTTCACTCAGGAGAAATGGCCAAAACTTATTTCTGAGGTTTAAATTTTCGTTTGGTGAGACCTAGTGAGTGACTAATACCTAATCTAGAGCTTCAGTTTAAACCAGGGTTTTTCAGTTTGAGCACTGTTGATACTTTGGGCGTAATAAACTTTTGTTGCTTGAGATTGTCCTGTGCGTTTTACATTTAACTGCATTTCTGGGCTCTACTAGATAACAGTTGCTTCCCACTGTGTAGCTGTAAATATCCACAGACGTCAAATGTCCTTTAGGGTGAGAGCAAAACTGCCCCTGGTTGAGAATCATTGGTTAAAATGACATTAAAAATTAGTATAACACGGGTGGGGTCAGGTTTACGTTACATAGGCTACTGTGCCAGTTTTTGCAAGTGCTCATACACTTCCTTTTTTGTGTGGGGGGTGAGGTTTTTGCTATAGGGCACATGTGCTTGCCAGAAAGACAGAGCAAGAAATCACCCCTTGGGGGATGGCCTTGCTGCAGTCCCTTCTCCATTCTCCTCTTGGAATTTTGGGCACGCACACACATGCTCCTGGCCTGAGTTTAAGCCACCAGGTTCAGGACTTGAACCGTGGTTGACTACATGGGAGTCCCTATACATTTCTACGATAGACTTGTGCTCAAGGAAATAACATGCCACATGAAACTTAAGCATTGTTTAATTTCTCCAGTAAAATTAACTCCACCACTGTTGAGGAACCTTATCAACAGGTGGTAAAAAGATGTTTTTTTTCAGCAGGTCTTTGGGCAATTGCTGCTTACAGGAAAACATCCGTTTACTATATTGGCCAGTGCAGTGTTGGCTTTGGGCATTGGAAACTGAGGTTCTCATGCCATACCACTTAAAAAGCTTCATGGGCCAGAATTGAAGCTCCCTGAAAACCAGGTCCTTGGAGGGGAACTGTCAGAGCCTTGTTGCTTGAGCAAATTAGTTGAAAACAGCTGTAGGTTAGTGGCCTAAATATCACCAGTGGTCAAAGAAGTGTGCAGTGAGGTTAGGTCGCATCTAGGGAAACAGCCTAACTTAATGATCCCTATTTTGAAGCATTCTTTTTTTTTTTTTTTGGAGAGATTTTTGCTATAGGGCGTGTGCGCTCGCCAGACAGAAAGAGACATTAGAGACAGAAATCACAGGGGGGATGGTCACACCACAATCCCTTCTCTCAGGATCTTGGGCACGTACGCACATGTCCCTGGTGTGAGTTTTAAGCCACCTGGTCCAGGACGCGAACCACGGTCCACTACGTGGGAGTCCAGCGACAGCCATTAAGCTAACTGCTGGTTCCCATGATCCCTATTTTGAGAAGGCTGTTTCAAAGCTTTTTGAGTTCTGTCTAAATATCATTGAGAAGTTCATCTGTGTAGTCCATCTTTCCAGAAAGTGACTTTACCGTCCATTATGTTCCAGTCAACCATTGAATTACCTTTCAAGGTCTGTCCTGAAAAAACATCATGGAATTTTGTCAAGCTGTTTAACACCTGGTAGGTAGATCTGGAAGGAGTATGTAAGCTGCAGCTTGAGGGGCAGAGGAATAAGCCTGAATTTAAGTTTATAGATTGGGTCCTTGGGGTGGCCCTGTAGTGTAGTGATTAAGGGAGCTGTATCCCACATGGCTGGCCACAGTTTGAATCTTAGCCCCTGTGGCTGGAGAAAAACAGCTGATATACATACAACGTGGAGAAATGGAGGTAAAAAGGGATTGTGGTGTGACCATGCACCATTTGGAAGCGCTGGGTTTTAAGATATTTTAGCTATAGGGCATGTGCACTCATGGAATGAGACAGAAAGCAAGGCCGCTGCGCCCCACCCCCACCCCCACCCCGATGGGGGTGGCCATACTGCATCCCTTATCCTTGGAATTTTGAGCACACATGTGCCCAGGGTGAGTTTTTGCTTTTGTGTTTTTTTTTGTTTTGTTTTGTTTTGTTTTGTTTTTTGAGGGGAGGGATTTTTGCTATAGGGCCCGTGTGCTTGCCAGAGACAGAAAGTGAGAAATCAACCCTGTGGGCAGAATGACCGCGCCACAATCTCTAATCCATTCTCCATGGGATTTGGGGGCATGAACATACACACGCCTGGTGTAAGTTAAGCTGCCAGGTCCAAGACTTGAACCGTGGTCAACTGGGAGTCCAGAAGGAATCCAGGGCCATAGCCATTATGCCATTTATTTGCTGGCCCCCCTGGGTCCAGGACTCAGGCCCACAGTCTACGATGTGGGAGTCCCAACAATGTAACTGCCATTTCAGTCCCAAGAAGTGCTGTTTTGTTGCTTGCACAGTGCATATGCTCTCTAAAAATTTACAAAAGAAATGAGTCCTTAGCTTTTAGATATTCCTATGTAGTCTGGAGTGATTTATTTTTTTCAAAATGGCAATAGCTGTTACATTAACCAGGATATTTGTCTCTACATTAAGCATTCACTGTTTCTGAAAGGTACCCTCCTGTGTAAATGGTGAAGAGTACAAGGGCAGATGGCTCCAATATCAGGACTTTCACTTTGTCTTTTAAAAGGAGTGCTAAAAGTTGGGTATTGTCTTGATGGACACCAAATATCTAAGCAGGTGGTGATACAGTTATGTAATATTTACACTTGAATAATTTGAATTTATTCAAACATTAGAAATATGTTCCACCTCAAATTCACAACAGTGAGTCCAGCCATGAAGCAGGCAGCTCTGTCCATGCTAAATCTTCTTTTCTTTTTGGTAGTGAAGGTAAATTTTTTATGTTGAAGTCTATTTCCATTTTAGCTTGGTTTGATCATAAAGGCAGTGAATGTTGCTAAATATTCTCACCCAGAGGAGGGATATAGAGCATTTCTGCTGTCAGAGGGCTTTTGGACTTGACAACCTGTTATACCAGGAATTTGGGGGAAGGAGTTTTGATGGAATTGGATAGAAGTAAGGGGCTTAGCTCTGATTTGTGGAAATTAGTTTTTCTTTTAATTTTTGCCATAATGTGCAAGTGCTTTCTGGAGGAGGGAGAGGAAGTGAGAAAGCACCCTCTAGGGTGCATGACAACACAACAATCTATTCTCTTGGGATTTGGGGCACACATGCACATGTATTATTCAAGCCACTGCCATGCACTTGACCATGTGAGATCCAGCAGCCTTACCCACCACACTACAAGCTGGCTTGGAAATTTAGCTTCTCTGTTTCCCAGTTGGGGGAGCTACTTTGTAGTGGTACTGTTAATTCCCAATAGGAATTCTGTGCTAGAAGATCTCACAGGTCATAGTTCAATTCTTGCTTGTGAACTCATCTGAAAACAACTCAGATATCTAGTAGCTAGATGGATTTCATGATATAATTTAATCATTTAAAACTAACTCAGTTTAATCTGGTTCCACATAGGGATTTGACTACTGCATGGGCTTGCATCCTTGTGAAATGATGATTCAGTTTATCCATTCGCTGAGTGTGCTGTCCTGACCTCCTTCCAAGTCTCAGTTCCTGTTCTAGGAATGTGGGGCCACGCAGCCTCCAAATGCCCTACAGTCTGCAGTGTTCTACTGTGGGCTGTTTGTGTGTTGGTAGGCTGCTGGCAGGAATGGTTGGTGTCAGCAGGGATGGGGCCACTTGGTCCCATCCCACCAAGATGAGTGGTGGAAATCTGATCACTTGCTGCAGCCCTTTATCTAGGTTTCTGTTAAGCTTAAACCAGGCTCATTCCTGAGTGTGTTTTGTAGTTATTATCTGTTATCTCCTGGCTCCATGCTCCAGATCTAGGGCCACTTGGTCCCATCCCACCAAGATGAGTGGTGGAAATCTGATCACTTGCTGCAGCCCTTTATCTAGGTTTCTGTTAAGCTTAAACCAGGCTCATTCCTGAGTGTGTTTTGTAGTTATTATCTGTTAGTAAGTAGGCAGATCTAGAAGTCCTTAGATCTTGAGAACTAAGATGATACTGCTGACCTGAATTATGTACTCGAAGAAGAGAATCCACGGGGAGAGGAGAGACGAGTAAAATATCCGTAAAAGCAGAGATAATAAAACCATGTTTATAGTTGACTCATCAGTTTTGCATACTTGGTTGCTACAATAGAAAACTTGGATAGAATACAGATAATAGACTTTGGTTGTTTTCAGGGTGGAAGGAATCAGTAAATTCAGAGTACTGATGCATTGAGCTCTTTTAGCCATTCTTACCAATACTGAACCAAAAAGGGGGTTGAGAAGGGTGTGGTTAGCATTATGGAGCACTTCATTTCTGAGTTGAAACAGCAAAGTAATGTTTTATATATAGTGTGGATGGGTCTTTTAGGCTTCCTGAAATTAATGCAGATCTACAGTGTTTGTGATAGGACATTTTTTATCCTATTTCCTCAATGAAGTTAGAATAGATAGTGAAGGTATGAATATCTTTCCAGTTGAACTATGCCCTGCTTTTGCTTTCTGTGATCAAAGTGAAAAATCTTGTCCTGGAGGTAGTAGTCTTCTTGCCTCTCCTGGCTCCATGCTGAGAATAGACCCTTTATGGATGACTTGTCGTGGCCCTCATCCTGAGAGAGTTCTTAGTTCCTTGGCACTAGAGTGAAGGATTTAGGAAAATTATTAGACGGGAATGCAATAGTTGAAGAGAAAGCCCCATTTGCGAAACATGCTTATTAAATAGCTGTTCCGTGTCAGAGTTAAAGTAGCTTTTATTTCTTTGTCTTCTCTTTTTGTCCGCATGGCACTAGTCTGAAAGTCTGCAGTCACTATAGCATTTATTGTACATTATGTGTTTTCTCTTGTACTCCTGTGGGTTTTGGATTTCAGAATTTTTAAAAAGTCTTTGCCATTGGGCCAGCAGATGAAGTGGTGGTTGAAGGCTTGGGACTCGCACATGGCTGACCGCAATTTGAGTTCCAGACTTGGCAGCTTGTTTTTCTCACTTTCTTTCTGTCTTCTCTGATCAAATTGAAAAATAATTATAATAAGTCCATTTTTAAGGGGCATGTGCACTTATCAGAGACAGTAAGTGAGAGAGAAATCAATCCCCAGGGTGGATGGCCATGTCCTTCTAGGATCTTGGGCACACACGCACACATGCCTGGTAGGCTAGGTGTTTCAAGCCACCAGCCCCAGAACTCAACTGCTGTCAACCATGTGGGAGTCCAGCTACATAACCGCTACGCCATCTGCTGGTCCCAAATTTCAAACTCTTTGAGTCATCCAGTCATAATAGTGCACTTTGCCATCTGCACTACTAAATCTGTTTTGAAGAAAGCTTTGCTGGTGATGATTAAGTTTTGTGCCAGGGTGAGTCATAAGTGAGATTTGGACCAGAAGTGAATATGTGAAAACTGGTCTAGAGCAGCTCAGCTGTGAGGTTGTCCTGCATCTAGTGCTGAGGTGTGCAGGCAAGAAGCAGTGAGTATGTGTGGAAATGCAGATGGATTCCTGCAGGCTTAACTCCTTTAGGGAAATGCCTTGGCTCTTACCAGAAGCATTCAGGTTAATTGAAACAGTTAAACATTTGCTGTCTATATAAAGCAATGCATGTCCAGTGCACTTTCCTGTGGGATGGTTATGATCCTCATGGTAAGGGTTGGCCTGGGAGGGTGGTTCTGTGAAAGCTTGAAAATCCTTGCAAAACTGGGCATATAATGCTGTGGTTTCTAGGGACATCTTCAAAAGCCAGTTCTAAAACTTGAATTCTATTGTCTGAGTAGTGGGTTTTTTTTAAATTGTTTTATGAGACTGAATTCTCAAGCCCTCCCCTCCCCCCTACTGGTTTAAGCAGCAATTCTGGTCATTTTAACATGTGCCTCCAGTCTGAAACTCACACTGTTGGCCAGCAGGGCCAAGCAGGGTTCTTTATTTTTTATTGGGGGGGAGGGGAGGTTTTTGCTATAGGGTGTATGCACTTGCCAGAGCCAGAAAGACAAGAGAGACAGCAAGCTAGAAATCACCCCCTGGGGCGGGGGATGAGAGATGGCCAGGCCACAGTCCCTTCTTCATACTCTCTGAATCTTGGGCACACCCGCCTGGCGCGAGTTTCAGCCACAGGATCCGGGACTTTAACCACTGTCGACTACATGGGAGTCCAGAGACATAGCCATTATACTAACTGCTGGTCCCACAAAGCAGGGTTCTAGGTGCCTCAAGATGAGTTGATAGAGATGGGTAAAGGGAAATTCCCACATCATGAGCCCAGTGATTTATCAAGCACTCTGTCCTGGGATGGTGTTTGTTTTGTTGGCTAAGCATTAAGGAGGACTGCTGAGCTTTCAGTCCTACTTGGTGCACTTCTGGAGTGAGGGGGGACAAATGCTGACTTAGAAGCTTTGAGCATTTCCCAGCTTCTTGTGATACTGGCTTCATTGTGGGAGGAGGAAGTGTTATGTGCCCCAGAATGGGAAAGTTCTTTTAATGGTGAATTAGTTGGTTTTGGCTCATACTCAGGGGAGTTTGCCAGTATTTTCTTTTAGATTTTTTTAAGAAAGAGACCTAGAGAGTGGTAATTCCAAATACAGATGCTTATCTGGTGGTTACTACTATAATATCAAGTACTGGAGTTTTTGTTTGAATCTCTTCCTAATGTAAAAAAAAATTTTTTTTTCCTTACACTGGTCAGAAAGGAGGACCGGTATAGTAATAGTCTGTGTTGTTACTTATATATTTTTGGGAGTATGGAAGAAATGGAAACCCAGAAGGTAATTATTCATTGGAACAAGAATTAGCTGGCACATTGCACTATAGCTTTAACTGGTACTTAAATGAATTCCATTTACATTAACCCACTTGGGTCCTCTAGCCTTATTCCAAAGGCAGCCCATGGAGTTTGCAGACTCAGGGTTTGCTCAACTTGTAGTGCACTAACATGGAATTGTCAGCATATTAAAATTTGAGAGATGTTGGTAATGATAATGAGTGGCTTTTTAGGAAATAGAATCTCAGGAAATTGGGTAATCCCTGCTGAGCTTTGGGAAACACAACTTCAACCTTGGGCTCTCTTTCTATACAGTAGTTGAACCAGCCTGACCCTGACGGAAACAGATAGGTGGACTGGTCAGTGTTTGCAGGCACATTTCAGTTTATATTCTGAAATATATCTGAACCCTGTGTTTGCTAGAAAGGAAGGAAGCTTTTATCAGAAATATAGCAGAGTTAGAATCACAACTGATAAAATGAAGTATCCCTGACCTCGAAGTGTTATCTTTGTTTACAGAGATTTCTTAAATGGACATGTGAAAATTAAGTCAAACAGGCATAATTTCATAGGAGTCATCAAGTCATTTGGAATAATAAATGTAGGTTGAGATGTCAAGAGCAATTACTAAGCATATTGTAATCTTACTAATAGCCGATGTAAGTTCTGGTTACAGAACTCTAAGCTTACAGAGGAAAATCATTGTTACAGGGCTACCTCTAGTTTTCAGTTTAAAAGTTTGGGTTACAATGCCTAAGGGGGAAAAACAAGTAATACAATACATCTCATTTTTGATGAGTATATTTAGTCTTTTATAGCTGATTGGACTGATTTTTGTAGTTTCAGAGGTTAAGTTCATTAGTTCTTGGTCTTGACATTTTTTTTTTTGGAATAAAAGAATCTAAAAGGAAAGTTAGATATTTAGAGAACTACCTCATCTTAACTATATTCTTCACTTGGCACTCATGGCTGTGTTAAGTAATCTGGAGCTTTAGGGCAACACAGCTTTACTACTAGGTACAGTGAGGAATGGGAAAGTGAGGGGTTTACTTTGAGATGCCTCTGTATGACTGTCAGGCTAGATTGTCCACCAACTTGTCTGCTGTAAGAACTAAGAAATTTGCCTTTCAAATTCAGGGTACCATGTTAGCCACTTATTCCTAATAGTCAGTGTGTATTGGTGCCAATCTTCTTATTTGTCAGTTTTTCTTTTAACTGGTAAACTGGAGTTGGGTGATGCCCCTGCACATTGAATTTCCAGCTCATAAAATAATCTTTGGGGACCAGCAGTTGGCGTAATGGCTATGTCGCTGGACTCCCATATTGTTGACTGTGGTTTGAACCCAGTGGCTTAAACTCATGCCGGCGCGTGTGGATGCATGCCCAAGATTCCGGGAGGAGAATGGAGAAGGGATTGCAGCCGTGGCCATTCCCCATCCCTCCAGGGGGTGATTTCTCACTTTCTGTCTCTCTGTCTCTGTCTTTCTGTAGAGCGCACGCACCCTATAGCAAAAACCTCTCCAAAAAAACCCAATTACTTTGGTTTTCCAAGGCAGGGATCACGCTTGTTGCTCATGTATAACCACATTAGGATCCTACTTATTAAGGCCTTGATTAATTTTTGTAACTTACCCTCTTTCTATACAAGATCTGTACCACATGACTTCTGTGCCATCACCCCAGGTTTTCCTAGGCTTGGACTTCTTTAACTGTCATGGTCTGGTGAATTGATGCCTTTTGAATGCTTCATGTCGGCAATTACAGAAGAAGTTCGAGACATCCTATCTATTGTAGTTCAGGCTGCCTTAGTGCCAAGTTTAGCGTATTTCTCATGTTGACAGGGTATCATGTATGTGATGTGAGTCACAGTTGCTTTGTTCAGATTACAGGAATATTTTAGACACCCATGCATTTGAAGAGCAGGTTCTCCTCTTGAATAAACTTAAAAATAGCTCAAAACTATTTTAAGTCATGTATATATCCAGATTACTTTTTAATAACTCATATTTGGAAGGATATATTATAGGGCTAAAATCTGAGACTAACACAATATGTTTTTCAGGTGAGATCTGTATCTGTGGACCTGAATGTCGACCCCTCGCTTCAAATTGACATACCTGATGCACTCAGTGAGAGGGATAAGGTGAAATTCACAGTGCACACGAAGGTAAGGGACAGGATGACTTAGCAGTGCAGGGCTTGGCTATAGCCTTGCTGTTCACAATGAGTGTGAAAAGAAATTATCTGAACTGAAACAGGGCTTGCCACTTAGCACGGCTGCTAAGCGAGAGCCTCCATCTGTTGCACTTGTCATAAGCATCAGATACGTGTAGCTTCAGATTTCTGCTGCAGAGGAGTCCCCTTACAATTACTCAGTGTGGTCTACTCTCTTCTGGTGCAGAAGTTACCAGGCAAAGTGGTAGTAACAAGGTGATCTTCCACCTTTGTTTTAAATTTGCATCCAAGGCAGTTGTGTCTATAGCTTGCATCTTCCATATTTACCAAGTTAAGCAGGTCCTTTCCAGCTGTTTGCTCTTAATGCCTTGCTGGTTGATTAGCATACTCAGGAGGCAGAGTAACTGCCTGGTGACAAGACTGCCTGACTTGACCTGATCAAGATCAAGGTGAAATAAGCATTCAGTGGGGTATAAAGGAAACCACGAATAATTGGCAGAACAATAGTAAATTTTAGGTAATTTTCTTTTTAACAAAAGTGTTTAAGGGTCACAACTGAGATAGGTTCAAGCTTTTAAAAAATGGAATTAGGATGGTCATTTAACTTGAAATTAATTCTTGCCACTATCTGTTAATTGCAAACTTCAGAAAGGTAGAATCCTTGTGTAGTTTTTTCCATAATACACATTTTGGGGAAACTCTTTGAAGACCCCTGATACTGGATTTTTTGTTTTCTTTTGTTTGTCTGCTTGCTTTAAACCATGCAGTTGGCTGTATAGATCTGGCTCCTTAAAACTAGGCCACAAGACCAGCCTTCTTCATTGTGTCTTCATGTGTTGTATTATACAGGATTTTCTCATGGTGCAGCCTGGGAAACCAAAACCACCGACGAGTAATGGTTACCAGTTAACGTCTCCTTCCTTTCTTTACAGACCACACTGCCTACATTTCAGAACCCAGAGTTCTCTGTTACAAGGCAACATGAAGACTTCGTGTGGCTACATGACACTCTTATTGAAACAGCAGAGTATGCTGGGTTTATTGTGAGTGCATTTTAGAAAATCAAGTAATTGCTACTTTCTTCTACATTGCCATTCATTTTGAAGGGATTTACTTTCTATAATAGATTGTGGGAAAAGGCAGTGTGATTTTTGTCTGCCTACTGGAGTATTTGCAAACTATTAGTAAGGTCTAAAGTGTATGTGGTGAAACTTACAGTTAAGAGATGAAGCATACAGGCTCTCCTGTACTTATTAAGAGACTAAACGGTTTAAGTCTTATTTACATTTAGGTTTGCTTTTTCTCAGGCATCAGTAGAATTAATTTATAGGAAACTTCAGTATTGGTGAATACTATGCAGTGTGATTTCTCAAAAGTGCTTAAAGAGTAAAGGAGGCAGTTTTTGCCCTTGAGAGTTAATTCTTGGATACAGGAACAGAGACTTGGCTGATTTTACAGGAGAGTTAAGTATGTCTTGACCTGCCAGTCAAGCTGAAGAATCCATTGAAATAGTGATTTTTAGGGAACCAGCAGTTAGCGTAATGGCTATGTTGCTGGACTCCCACGTAGTCGACCGTGGTTTGTATCCTGGACCTGGTGGCTTAAAACTCACGCTGGGCGCGTATGCGTGCATGCGTGCTCAAGATCCCGAGAGGAGAATGGAGGAGAAGGGATTGCGCCGTGACCATCCCCCCTGGGGGGTGATTTCTCGCTTTCTGTCTCTATGTCTCTGTCTGGCGAGTGGACACGCCCTACAGTGAAAATCTTTCTAAAACAAACAAAAAAATAGTGATTTTTAATAATTGAACAGAATTAGTACTGGAGTTTGTGTTAGCTGTATATAGAACTTGACTGTGCTTTATAAATAGAAAAGATTTTTAAAAGGATGGGTAACTTTATAATCTTGGTGGCTAATCATTGGTTTTTAGCATTGACAATACTAGTTTTAAAGCTGGCATTGAATGAAACAGTATAGTTACTGTCCTCTGTCAGTTGTCTATACTAGTAACTGATTAAATGATTGATTAGAAGTGAGTACCCAACTGGGGAAGCACGTCTTTAAAATGGCCAGAAGGACTAAGGTTAAGAAAAATAGGGTTTGACATTTGGGCGATACACTGGCACAGGCAAATGCCAAATGCAGCCCAGTGAGAACATCACTGCCAGGTCAGAGCCTCATGAGTTACCTGTCTGCTGCAGATTCCACCTGCTCCTACTAAGCCTGACTTCGATGGCCCTCGAGAGAAGATGCAGAAACTGGGAGAGGGTGAAGGGTCTATGACCAAAGAAGAATTTGCCAAGATGAAGCAAGAACTGGAAGCGTAAGTGGATTAACAGACTTAACTTTTTGACGGCTAGAAATATGATGCTGTGCAGCAGAAGTAGAAAGGCCTGATGCTTTCTCTGTTTTTATAATTTCTGGTATTTGATAGTTTTTAAAGACTGTAGCTGTTAATTAGTTGCCTGGTGCCATTTTCTGAAACTACACTTTGCAGGGCATGAAATGTCTGTAATTCAGACATCACTTCCTTAAATACTGGACGTAGACTAATTTTTTCCTCTATGTGGATCACACTTAACTAGGGATTGTTGGTGAAGAAATAAACATTTGTATTTCTAATTAGGTTTCAAACTGCTGATACTCCACCAAACTATCTTGCCAGAGTTTGGTTACTCGCAGTACAGGAAAAACTAGATCGTGGTGAATGCTGTTGGAAAGCATTCTGAAAATCTACACTGATGGTTTGAAAGAGGAAATCCAGACAGCATATTTTAATCTGGTCGTCATTTAATAATTCACACAAAAATGGGTTCTTTACACTTGTGTCATAGGAAAATGAAAAACTTTGTACCAGATGATCAACTAATATCATTTCAGTCTTCAAAACAAGTCAAATGTAAACTCTTAAAACCCATACCACAGTACCATTTAAGTATCTGAAACGTTAGGAGAAAAATATTGTATAACTTTTCTTGTTAAATATTTTACTTCCAGTCCTTACTGCATCCATGCTGTTTACATGGCTGCAGAATTAAAGCGTTTTCTTTATTTTATTTATTTTTTGGAGAGGTTTTTGCCATAGGGTGCGTGTGCTCACCAGACAGACGGAGAGAGACAGACAGAAAGTGAGAAATCCCCCCCCCAGGGGGGGATGGTCACGCCGCAATCCCTTCTCCTCCATTCTCCTCTTGGGATCTTGGGCATGCACACACGCCTGGCGTGAGTTTTAAGCCACCGAGTCTGGGACGCGAACTGTGGTCAACTACATGAGAGTCCAGCGACACAGCCATTATGCTAACTGCTGGTCCCTGTTTTCTTTATTTAAAAACTTGTTCTGCAGTTGCTAAACAACAGCAGTATTACATGGAGACTCAGACTGGTTCTAGTACAGTTGCAATATTTTACTTGAACTAAGCAGAACAATAGAATTAACCAGGAATGGTATTGGTCAGATAGTTGAATGATGCCAACTAAAAGCCGCACATGCCTCTTTTTTCAGTGAGTATCTTGCTGTCTTTAAGAAGACTGTGTCCTCTCACGAAGTCTTTCTTCAGCGGCTTTCTTCTCACCCTGTTCTCAGTAAAGATCGCAACTTCCATGTTTTCCTGGAATATGATCAGGATGTAAGGCTTCTTTTTTTAAAAAAAAAAAAATACTTATTTTCTTAAACTTTATTTTACTTAATTTGATCAGAGAGGGAAAGAGAGTGAGAAAGTAAGCAACCTGGTCCGGGACTTGCACCGTGGTTCAGTGCCTTCAATCACCACACCACCCGCGAGCCTGTATGTAAGGCATTTTTAGTCCATTGCCATGGTGCAATTAGAACGTGCAAGACTACTTCTACCCCCTCACCCTGTAATTTTTTAGAGGGCATGTACATTCAATAAAGAGACGAGACAGAAGGAAAGAGGGGTTATACCCCCAAGTCGGGCACAGACATGCATGCACATGGTGCCTGGTGTGGTATTCAGGCCACTGGGACTGGGATTTGGATCACGAGACTGGCCATCTGGATCTAGCTCCCTTAACCACCAAGCCATAGGGCTGGACCAACTTTAAAGCGTATTTTATATTTTCTGAAAATCTGACTTAATGTACATTTTTCTTCTTTGCTGCCCTTTTTGTTGAAAGGAAATTTACATATTTGTATGCGTACATACAAGTTCTAACCTTTTTTGCTATGAAATGTGTTGTATAAGCCCTGACTTAGAAATTTGACTTTTAATCCATTGAAGCATAGTGAACAATACAGAACAGTAATTCTAACAAGGATTTTAAGTCACTAAGACCCAGCATTATGATAATTTTTTTAAAATAACAATTTCAGTTAGTCTTCTAAAATTGGATGGTCTATGTTTAGGTTATTTTTTTGGTATTGTGGAGTTGCTGATTGAGACAATTGAAGATCTTATATGTGTGTCTGTACAACTAGAGTATTTCTTGGGCTATTACTCAACTGCTTTAAGGAAACCTAGAAAGATATCAATGTTTTCTTGGAATTTCCTTCCTTTAGCTAAGTGTTAGGCGGAAAAACACCAAAGAGATGTTTGGAGGATTTTTCAAAAGTGTGGTGAAAAGTGCTGATGAAGTCCTTTTTTCTGGAGTTAAGGTAAGTCATTGATAAAATACTTGACTCATGGTAAAATTAACGACTTCGTGACCCTTTTGTCGGGAGACATTTGTGAAACAAGTGTTAACCTACGGTGATTTTTATCACCCCCTCCCACCGAAAATTCAGTTATTTTTAACTAATTTTCAGTTATTTTATATTAAGTTGCACCTGTGGCTTGTATTATATTTCTATTGGATAGTGCTCTCCTACACAAAAAAAATTAAGTTGCTTATAACATTCGTAGGTGTGCTGTATTTCTTCACTCTGCAGACCCTTTCCAAATCTATAAAGTTACTATCGGGTGAGTGACTTTTGCCAGGTCTTGGCACCTATATTCCAGGTCTTGAGTCAGGGAACCTGGAATACAGGTGCTGAGTAAAGACAGAATTGTCAGAAATTTGGAAACTATTGGACTATCTTTGCTATTAAGGGGGGGCGGCTTTTCTTAACCAAACGTGTGTATCATATCTGGCTACTGCCTGCCAGATGCTAGATTGCCTCCCAGTCTGAAACCAACTTAATTTAAAAAAACTTAGCTGTATTCAAGTGTCCAAGGCTAGGTGGCCATGTCCCACTTGGCAGAGCCATGGCACGTTTAGTAGGATTGCCAGGGGTAGAGAGGATGCCGCATTCTGGCCATAAGATGGCTCTCTACTGGCGTTGCCTGCCAGCACTTGGTTTTTGCCAGTATTTGATATGAAGTTGTCTTTGGGCAGTTTGTGATTACTTGCTCTATAGAGGTTAAACAATTTATGTTCATGAGCTAGTTTACCTTGATCTAATAAATACATAATTCACATTCTTGGAATTTCTACTTAAGCTTCTTTTTTCCTCTTTTAGGAGGTAGATGATTTCTTTGAGCAAGAGAAGAACTTTCTTGTTAACTATTACAATAGGATCAAGGATTCCTGTGCAAAAGCGGACAGAATGACCAGATCTCATAAAAGTAAATACCATTCTCTGACTAGCCACTTAGCTTTGCTCATGTGGCTGGCTTTGCTGTATAAAGGGCTGTCTTTGTTTCTGTAGACGTTGCTGACGACTATATCCACACTGCAGCCTGCCTGCACAGCTTGGCTTTAGAGGAGCCTACAGTCATCAAAAAGTAAGTTTTTGTTGGAAAAGCATATCCCTATACCTCCTAATAAGTAATAACCACATAGTTTCAGTTCGGTACTGGATTCAAATCTTATGTATTCAGTGTACACAAAACACAAGACAATCATTGTGTACATAGGATTCTTTCCCCTTTTTTTATTTTTTGAGAGATTTTTGCTATAGGGCGCGTGGTCTTGCCAGAGAGACAAAGTGAGAAATCACCCCCCAGGGGGGATGGGCACACATGCACATGTGCCCGGCGTGAGTTTAAGCCACCAGGTCTGAGACTCGAACTGTGGTTGGCTACATGGGAGTTCAGCAACATAACCATTACACTAACTGCTGGTACCCCCCACCCCATCATGGATTTATTTTTATTTGTGGTTCTCGCCATTTATCCTGAGTATTTATTTATTTATGCCAGAGACCTTGTGTTCAGCGGGTGGGAGAAGAAAGCACCCCCATGGGGAAAGGTCAAGTCATAGTCTCTTCATCTCTTCCCTCTTTTGGGGATTTTACACACTTGGCAAGTTTCAGACTCAAATGGCATAGTTACCTATGTGGGATACAACTCCCTTAACCACCTGGCCGCAGCTGGCCCAATCCTGGACATTTGTGATGTGGGATACAACTTCTTAACCCCCAAGCTTAGTATCAATGACAATGGCTTGTCATTGAAAGGTTGATGGCAGAACCAGGATGAAATAGTCTATTTACTGCTTTGCAACATTTGTTTCCACTTAAGTTTCTTAAACTACTGGTAGCTCTTCAGATCCTTGCCTTGGTTATTGGTCTTGGCATTTGATAAGAATTGCCCTGGACATAGGGCACCATGAGAAGCAGTTGCCTCCATGTGGTGTGGTAGGTAAAGGTGCTCAGTTTTGTAACCATTTTCTCTATGACTTACGACCAATTTAAGTGAAAACATACCTTGACAAATTAACCCTAAAGCACCAGGGTCGCGGCTAGACCTCTGAATTTACCCACTCGTGTCTATTTTATTGATAAGATCGTGTTTCATAGACTGCTTAAGATTTTAAACCAAAATCATGTGTTTTTAGGTACCTATTGAAGGTTGCTGAACTGTTTGAAAAACTTAGGGTAAGGATTTTTGTATTTTTCAAACATGTATTTTATAATCTGGAAGCTTCTGCCTTGGTGGTGATCTTTACTTTTTTAAATAGAAAGTAGAGAGTCGAGTCTCATCAGACGAAGATTTGAAGCTGACAGAACTCCTCCGGTACTACATGCTAAACATAGAGGCTGCTAAGGTGAGACAATTGTGGGATTCATCATCACGGTACAAGAGCACTCTGCCCGGACCCCAGGTCTGTGTTGGTGGTGGCACCATAGGGAGTGTTGAAGCAGACAGATATGGGGGGCCATTTCTGAGGCAGAAATGAAAGGTCTTGGGGTCCGGGTAGGGCGGAGTGAACTCTTACTACTAGATGCCTTTGAACTGTGAAGCACATTACCCAAAGAAAGATGAGAATAAATGGTAAGCGGAGAGGCACCTTTGAGAATGAAACATGCATTCTACGTGGCCTCAAGCAAAAATGTTTCAGTTTACACAAACTTTTTAGATCTGGCAACAAGACGTTTAGATAGCGTTCTTAATTTGCCTTAGGACATGTTTTCTCAGACTTGGATTTTTTTTTTTTTTTTTTACCTATTCAGGCTGTTAACTTTTTTTTTTTTTTTTAAGAATTATTTTATTTATTTATTTGGAGAAGTTTTTGCTATGGGGCGCATGCACTTGCCAGAAAGATAGCAAGAGAGACAGAAAGCGAGAAATCACCCTCCAGGGGGATGGCCATACCACAATCCCTTCTCTTTCATTCTTGTTTCAAGATATCTCTGTTTTCACAGAATTAAGAGCTCAGCTTAATTTTTTCTAACATACACAAAGGTAGCATTTCCAACAGTAGATTTACCCAGCTTCTATAATTATTTTGCCAGGCTTGAGCCTTTTTTCTTTAACTGCATGGTCCATCTTATCTAATTATTTTTTCCATGCAAAGTAAGAGAAGAAGTATCCCTAATGGATCTGATAAATACCATTGTGTATAAGCAGCCTCTGTCAGTTTGGATCATGGGCATGTGTGCACCTAATGCATTCAGACAGGGAATCTTCAGGGTATAAACCCAAAACCTTCCCATGTTATTCCAACACAGCACAGTTGTTGCGGTAGCTCCTGTGCGGCCGTTACTGGTCCCTAGGAGGCTTTCATTTGTGTCAGATGGCTCCCAGAGTACATTGCCGACAGCAGGATTGCAGGGTGGATTTCTTAATGCCACCACCTCCTTCCCAGGATGCCATCCAGTAGTATTCCACTTGACTGGCCCAGCAGTGACTATGCACATTTAGGTACAGAATGTTTCATTTTTCTTTCTTATGTGTGTTTTTTTACCTTCACCTGATCCATATAAAGAATTCCAAAAAGATTCTTAATACCGTGCGTTTCTTATTTCTGTTGGAACTTGAGATTAAAAATAGAGTAGTGGGAGAGGGAAGGTGTAGGAATAGATTCCTGCCATCTTAGCTTCTTAGGCAGTGTGATAGCATCAGGTGTACTTGTTAGATTTTAAACTGTTTTAGATATTTAATGCTCCTATTTTGTTCCCTGGATATTTTTATGTTATATTTATAATTTCTTTTCAGGATCTCTTATACCGACGCACCAAAGCCCTTATTGACTATGAGAACTCAAACAAAGCTCTGGATAAGGCCCGGTTAAAAAGCAAAGATGTCAAGTTGGCCGAGGCACATCAGCAGGAGTGCTGCCAGAAATTCGAACAGCTTTCTGAATCTGCAAAAGAAGGTGGTAATTTCAGGCTTAGAGGAAAAGTTGCACGAATAGTGGAAGGCCGCCCAGATAGCCTCCACCCAGAATCACCTCACTGTCAGTCTAATGCACCCAGTGTCTGTGGTGTCACTTGCAAATGCACAGTGCATTTGTGAACATACACACATCTGGTTTTTTTGAACCCTTGTAGGTTATGTCATGGTCTTTTTTTTTATCTCTAAAAACATAGTTGGATTTGTCCTAAGGCCCAGTTTGCTGCATCCCTACAGTATAGCCCTCAGTTACGGAAAGCTTACCTTTGATATAAGATAGTCTACTATATGTATTTTTATGATACTGACTCTTTTAAAGAACACAGCAATCTCTTTACAAATAGACTGTTCCTTGCTTGGTGTTGATTGGTTTCTTTGCTCATGTTCACATTGTGCTTATACATTTATGACAGAATGCAGTGTAAGTGATAGAACCTTGGGGTATCACACCTGAGGACATACTGTGTCCATCCCCTCCTTATTTGTGGTGATGACTGTTTATTTCTTTCATGAGAGAAACAACATAAGCACCCTTGATAGGATCTCAGCACCTTGGTCCTTCCCCCAGCCGTGCCCATCTGGTATGTAGGCTCGGTAACCCAAGGAATGGAACCCCAGATCTCACATAGGATGTGCAGTACTGTGCTGTGGTGCTCTGCTGCGGCACCAGCCTGGCAGGGCCAGTGCTGCTTGATTTTGACGGTCTAGTCAGGTGTTGTCTGAGCTCCACTGTGTAATTAACTGCCCTCTTCATCCTGTAGAAAGATGATTTAGTAACCAGGTACCATGTATTGGTAACCCAAGGAATGGAACCCCAGATCTCACATAGGATGTGCAGTACTGTGCTGTGGTGCTCTGCTGCGGCACCAGCCTGGCAGGGCCAGTGCTGCTTGATTTTGACGGTCTAGTCAGGTGTTGTCTGAGCTCCACTGTGTAATTAACTGCCCTCTTCATCCTGTAGAAAGATGATTTAGTAACCAGGTAGCATGTATTGACACACACACACACACACACACACACACACACCCACACCCACTACCCCGTGGTAGGAAATCTAGCACTTTGTTAATGTCCACACACACACACAGTTTTCTTTCTTTCTTTCTTTTTTTTTTTTTTTTTTTTTTTTTTTTTTTGGAGGTATTTTTGCTATAGCACATATTTACTTACTGGAGAGACAGAAAATGAAAAGTCATCCCCCGGGGAATGGATCACGCTGCTATCCCTTCTGGGATTTGGAGCACACACGCACACGTTCCTGTATGAGTTTCTAGCAGCTGAGTCTGGGACTGTGTTGAGTCATGTCAGAGACCAGTGATGTACCCATTACGCCATCTGCTGGTCCCTAATCCCCTTGTAATAACAGTGTTTTACTTTGCAACGTGATTGAAGCTGCTTGATGATGTCCAAACTCGAATGCTAATCATTTGTCTTCCTTCCTGTGTGTTCAGAACTGTTACTATAGTTGACTGTGCTTTAACTGTGAGGCATAGAGCTACTCTTCACTGCAGCTTGGCAGGTGGCGCGCAGGGTCTTCCCAAGAGACGGCCTTCACTACCTAAGGTTTTTGAAGCACCTGTGTTATGTTATATTCTCTTTATTCCAGGTGTATGCCCCGAGATACTGTACTAGCAGTTCAGTATTCTGTAAACTACTGAGATTGGCAGGTCTTAATCTGCTTGCCTTTGGTAGTGTGGAAGGCCGTGTATTATATCTTACACATGAACTATTGTGTGTCCATTTTGTTCCCTTACCCTAACATGGCTGTCTGTTGAGATTTGTGGCTGGACTATCTTAGAGTTGTCAGTTGAAGGAACACAGCACACATGGTGAGGGCAGGATTCAGAGGAGTTGGTTAGTATGGGACTGGGTCCTTCCTATCTGCAGTCCATAGAGGAAGGAGGGAGGGTGCCTCAGTCTGGGAAGTGCTAACACTGTAGATTTCTTCCCTGGGTTTTGTTTTTCAAAGTTTTTATTTTTTAAGAATTATATTATCTAACTTTTTTTTTTTTTTTGAGAGATTTTGGCTACAGGGCACGTGTGCTCACCAGAGAAACAGACAGACAGAAAGCAAGAAATCACCCCCTAGGGGTGATGGCCATGCCCAATTCCTTCTCCATTCTCTCTGAATCATGGGCACACACGCACAGGCACCCAGCATACATTTAAGTCACGGGGTCTGGGACTCGAACCATGGTCGACTACATGGGAGTCCAGCTACATAGCCATTATACTAGCTACTTATTTAACTTTATTTTTAATTTGCCTAGAGACAGTAAGAGACATGGCGATGAAGCTGCCAGGTCTGGGACTTGAACCGCTATTGAACTGTAGTCAGCCATATGGGAGTCCAGCGTTCCTAACCATCACACCACCTGCTGGTCCCAAGTGTTGTTTTTTTTTTTTAATATGGCTGCTTACATTGTAGCTTCTATTGGACAGAGGTGTAAAGATGATGGGAGGGTGAGTCTACTTTTGAGTACTCTTGAGCACCAGCTTGAAGGAGTGAGGGCTCAAGCCAGGACAAAGTCAAATGTCACATAACATAAAAGGAAAATGGGGGTGGGTCTCACTGTGCACTGATTTCTACTAGGTCATTAATCTTGAATTCTGATGGCGTAGGAAACAAAATGGTAATGGAAAGGGGCCAGGTCACACAGATCTTAATTGAACCAAACCCATCTGAACATGAGAGCAGTTTTAAAATTAAATTTTTAAATGTCAAATCTAAGTATGACATTTATGAAGTACAGTGAAGTTTGATTTGTGCACCTAAGGAGGTGTTCAGAGGTCGTTCTTCCACACGTATGAGTTTGCCCGGTGATAGTCTTTCTGTGCCTGAATTATTTCACTTAGGGTAACGTCCTCCAGGTTTATCAGTGTTTTCTGAATGACAGCATTTCGTTTTTTTTTTTTTTTATTTTATTTATTAAATTTGACCAGACTCGGGGGTGGGGGGGGAGAGCGCGGGAAAGTGAGAAGGCGTAAACCTCCAGGTCCAGGACTTGAATCATGCTTGGCCATGTGGGAGTCCAACACCTTAACCCATGCCACCTGCCAGCCCCAGCATTTCGTTAAGGTTGCATAACTTACCTGTGCATATATATTCACAACACATACTGTGTTTTCCTAATGATTAGTGAAACTGAACTTAGAAACCTTTAGTCATTTTTATGTCTTGCCATTTCATTGTCTTGCCAGCCCACCACCACTCCAGACCTTTCTGCAAACATTTGTGCCTAGAGGGCACAAGTTTATCTCACAAGTCCCCAGAGCAGTCAGTGGCCACCAGTGCCTGGTATTTGAGTGATGGTATTCACTTAGGCCTGACTGACTGTATGTATAGTCACTGTAACTGGTTATAGTGACTATAAGACAATTTGGAGATTATTTATTACAGTGCTATTTGGAAGTTAAAGTGTAGGTGAATGTGGTGACTTTTCTTGTTTTGGTAACTATTAACTCCTCCTTCCTATAGAATTGGTAAATTTCAAACGGAAGAGAGTGGCAGCATTTAGAAAGAATCTAATTGAAATGTCTGAACTGGAAATAAAGCATGCCAGGGTAAGTGGCTTTTTTCCAATTAAGCCGAGCAATTTAAGTTCCTTACTAATTTACTTATTTGGGTATCATCAGGTAGGTAGGGTATGTCTTGTCTTGTGGTTTTAATTCCTTGTAATACCTAGTAGGTGGGGTAACACTAAGACTATTTTTGCTACTGCAATCTCCAAAATAGGTTGAAAAGCGTTCTTGGTGGAGGCTACTCTGCCTCTCTGCCAAAGGCCTTGTAGGCCACACTCTGAAGAACATTCTAATAAAGCCATTCATTGCTTAACAGAGGGGATATGTTCTGGAAAGTACATTTGTGACATTTTGTTTTCATGCAGACATCATAGAGGATACTCAGAAACCTATAGGGAACAGCTTATGTGCCCTTCATGGGACCAATCACGTGATCATTGTCCAAAATGTTTGTTGGTATGTGGCTGTAATTTGTGAATAAGCTCTTCAATGTCTTGGGTTTTCATGGGAAATCTTTTTAGAAGAGAATGTTTCCTAGTTTGCTTAAAAGCAGCATCGTCTGATAATTCCTTTTGGGAAAAAAAAAAATTTTGTGTGTATTTAATGCCTGTAGCTTAATTTAGCACAGAAACTGGAAAACAATGCTGAGTGCACATCAGATTTACTAGGATCCTTTAAGAAATTTTGATGCCCAAAATCATGTTTCTTTGGGTATGGATCATCCAGGTAGTACCAGGAGCTCAGTCAGGGGCAACCATAGGAAGTCCTCAAGGGGTACTTTCGCCAGCTTGCAACTTTGGTTAAAGCAGGGAGCCTTCGGACACACAGGTCCACTAGTCGTGAGCCTCACCGAAAGCAGCCCTCCAGTGCAAGGTTGGGGTGGGGTGCAGTAGAAACTGGCCTGTAGCACCTTCACCTGTCCTTTCTAAAAAATTATTTTATTTAACTTTATTTATTTTAATTTAACTAGAGAGGACAGAGGGGAGGGAGGTAAGAAAGCAAGCCAGCACGTCCAGAATTCCAACCATGGTTAACCGTGTGGAGTCCAGCAGTTTAATCACCATGCCACGTGCCCAGCCCCCCTGCAGTTGCCTTTTTATCTCTATAATTGAGAAGTAACTCATGGAGGGACCAGCAGTTAGCGTAATGGCTATGTCACTGAACTCTCCCACTAGTGCACCGCAGTTTGAGTTCCAGACCCAGTGGCTTAAACTCACGGCAGGCACGTGTGCATGCCTGCCCAAGATCCCAAGAGAAGGGATTGAGGTGTGGCCATCCCCCTCCCCCGGGGGGGGGTGATTTCTCACGCTCTGTCTCTGTCTTTTTGGTGAATGCCTGTGCCCTATAGCAACCCCCCCCTCCAAAAAAAAAGGGCAGTAACTCATGGAAACTATAGCTCTGTACCAAAACAAGGAACATCCTTGTATTTAACTGGTACTGCTGATGTCTTGCCTCACCAACTAGTAACAGCCAACCCAGTTCGGCTGACTTTTTCATTTTAATTATCTCTTGTGAAAGGCTGTGTCAGTGGATTTCTGTTCATTTCTTAAAGAAATGTAGCGAGTAATTTTAGACTCTTAAGTCAATGATCTACCTTGACTTTTTTTTCCCCAGAACAATGTCTCCCTCTTGCAGAGCTGCATTGACTTGTTCAAGAACAACTGATCTGCTTTACTTTGAAAGAAGAGAATGAATGTGAAAGAAAGCCAGCATTACCTTGCACTTAAATCATTACCATGGATGATTAGTTTTTACTTTAGTTTAAAATTGTGTTAATAAATATTTTGATTTTGAAAAATCTTAACACTTAACCATGTTGGTTTAAAAATACTTTCATTGCATGCTACTTGGACATAACCAGTCTTTTCCTTACACATTTAATACCTCAAAAGTGGGCAAAATCTAAATCCTGGGTTCTCCTGTACTTGAGTTACTGAGCAGTATAGGAGACATGTGCCTTCTGGAAATTTGTGTCATTTTCATGCACCCATGTCCTTACAAACCAGTTGTCAAGGAGGTGCCACTTAAATAACAGCTATTTATTAACAGGGAACAGGCATTGCATTCCTTAACTAGTTGGAGTTTCCTGTTCCCTGTTGTGCTCTCGGTTCTGCAGTCACCAGAAGTATTTGTACTATACCAAGAGAAGGAAAATCTCGTCTTTATTACCTTTTACATCTCCATTTTTGTAGTTGGGATATAAATAACTTGAGGGGAAAAAAATCTAAGGGTATAAGTAAAAGCAAATAATAATGGTCTACTTTACAAATGGCCAGACCTACATTAAGAAAGATGTGAACTTCCTCCCTAATGATTGTGGGGGTGAGGAAGGTATGTATGTGTGTGCTTCTGTTTTTTTTTTTTTTTTTTTTAATAAAGTATATAATAAAATAATCATGCAACTGTGTGGAGTGTTTATTCAGACAAAAGGCCAGGGGACATCTAAAAAATGGAGTTAAACCTTGTGCCATGATGAGAGTATCATTGCCTATTCTGTGTTTTATAGGCCTCTGTTCCATTCAACTTTTTTTTTAATTACCAGAGGTCACACTCTCCAGGGAGTGAGGGAGGGAGAAAGCACACCCCAGTGTCATGGTCATACCACAGTTCATTTCTCTATTCTGTTGGGATTTGGGCATACACACACCCACTGTTTTTCAGGCTGCCAGGGCCAGGATTTGAACTGCAGTTAGCTATGTGGAATCCATCTCCCTTAATCACTAGGCTGTGGAGCTAGCTAACCTTAACTTTTTTTTTTTTTTTTTTTTTTGAGAGGTTTTTCCTATAGGGTGCGTGTACTCATCAGAAAGACACACCTAGTCAGAAGGAAAGAATAACCTCGGGGGCAGTGGGTATGGCCACTCCGCAGTCCCTTCTCCATTCTCCTCTCGGCATCTGGGATCTTGGGCACACATGTACACATGCCCAGCGTGAGTTTAAGCCACTGGGTCTGGGACTCAGACCATAGTCAACTATATGGGAGTTCAGTGACATCCATTATGCTAACTGCTGGTCCCCTAAGCTTAAATTTTTAAAAGCCATAGGCTGGGACCTATGGGGAGCACATGTGCCCTAAAGCAAAAACCTCTCAAACTAAAACTCATAGGCCAGTTTTTTATAATCTCTAGATCTAATCTTGTCTATTCCTGGTTGGATTCAGGTTTATTGTACATACACTTTTTAATCTTTTCCATGCACTAGCACCCTGAAGATCTTGATGTTACCACCCACTCCCAGTGTCCGCCAGCCCCATCTCATGGGTATGCATCCCCATGCATTCAGGGGTTGTCATGCAAATTTGGAACCCTATGTGACAGTGATTCCTCAAGGGGTGAATGTTATTTGATGAGGACTGGACACTTGCTGGTCTGTTATGTCTTTGCTGTTCGACTACTTATGACTTAGGTTTCTTTCATAAGAGAAAGCAGAGCAAGGCCTCACTGTTAAACTTCCCCAGCCTTTCCAGCCGGCCAGGATCAGGAGAGTGAACACACCCAGCATAAACAGGTAAACCCAGGAACCGAGCCTCCATCTACCATTTGTCTTCAAGCATTGCAAAGCACTACGTCTTGCTTCTGTGGCTGGGCTGAGGTTTTCTTTTTGCCTAATTTTTTGACTGTAGGGCACATTTACTTGCTGGAGACAGGGAGAGGGGAAGTGAGAAGTCACCCCCAAGGGGGATGGCCATGCAGAAATCCCTTCTCCATCCTGTAAGGACACTCTGGGATCCAGCACTGTAACAGCCACACCACCTCCTGGCCCCAGTTTACCAGGGTTTTCTAGTACACCCCTGACTGATGTGGTTTTAGATATGCTCACCTCACTATCTTTTTGCCTTAGCTGGTTTGTCATAATCCGAGCATTGGAAACCAAGTGTGTTTGTGGTTCCTTCCTGCTTCTACCCATGAGGCCCTCAAATTCACAGGTGTGCTGTGAATACACCATGTCGGTAGAGCCCTTGGGAACTGCCTCTCTGTATGATTGGGCAGAGGGGAGGCAGACTACATGGGCCTCAGCATAGGGCTTAGGTCACACATTGAATGGTACCATTAACTGGGTGGAGTTGGGGCCAGTTACAGGGTGATGTGTAAGAAGGCCTGCTGTGTTAACCCTCTCAGCATACTTTGAAGTCTAGAGGTTGAGAGACAACCGCTAGAACACGTGTATACAATTTCTGTGGATCCTTGGGGGATTCTAGAAGCAAATTCAAACAAGCTGTGAATTCACCTCAGAAAGTCCAGCCTGGAGATACTTTGACTTGCCCAGCTCACAAAAGTTAACGCTTGCACACAACTGCAATTAACAGGTCCCTGAAGAAAAAGGATGCTTACATGCAAATGAAGACCATCTCTGGACAGCCTTTGAAAAGAAGCTTGAAAGTCACATTTGACCAGGCCATTCCACCTCCGCATGAGTTCACATGTTCTGTTCCCTCAACGCTTGCCTCAGCCGTCCTTTGGTTTGTGAGGTTCATTTGAGATGATTGGTAGGCGCCCTTGGCTCTGAAAACCCACTTCCACCTGGAAGGCTAATTTTAGCAACTAGGAAGTAAGGGCCTTGCACCACCAGCCTTCTGCCTGTAGGCGGCAGCGGCCACCCGCCCACGGTTTATAGGCCCAGGCCTCTCCAGAGCAGCTTGGGAGTGGGGGAACCCTGCAGAGTTGCTCAGAGTATTATTTTGTAGCTAAAGTGTGAATCATAGCGGAAGTCCTGCTCCCTGAGATTTCAAGTAGTTGACGGGTGCAATCTCCCCAGCCCAGTAGCCCCCTCCAGGATCCTATGGGCGTCGGGTTCCTGGTGACCTCTGGCTGAGGCTGTTCTGTTCCGGGAACTCTGGCAGTCTGGCCATGTGTCAAACAGTTGTGAGGTAACTGGGTTCAGAGTTGGGCCATGTGACATGGCTGGAAGGAAGGCAAGAGGACCCCAGCTAGGCAGTGACTGGTTATGAACTTCAGATGCAGTTAGAGGCTGAAAGTTCCCTGGGGACCCTTCCAAGCAAGGTCACACATTTTCAACAGACAGATACTCAACAGACAGATACTCATACTCAGTGATTTCTTTTTTCAGAGTTTTTTGCCTTAGGGTATGTGTGCTCACTAGAGAGACAGTGAGAGGGAAAGTGAGAATTCACCCCCAAGGGAGGGGGTTGGCCATGTCACAATCCCTTCTCCATTCTCCCAGGCTCTTTGGAATTCATGTTCACATGCCTGGCATGATTTTCAAGCCACCAGGTCCACTTGAACTGCCTTCAGCCATGTGGGAGTCCACTCTGCCATCTGCTGGCCCCCAAAGTGACTTCATCAGAGATTTGGTTTATTGCCATCTGAAGGCACTGGCTTTTAAAATCATATATAGGGACCAGCAGGTGGCGTGGTGGCTGAGGCACTGGACTCCCCCTTGGCTGACCACTTTTTTTTTGTTTTGTTTTGTTTTTAAATGCTTGCACACCATATTGCACCATTATTCACAATTGCTAAGACATGGAACCAACCCAAATGTCCACAAACATAAATGGATTGAAAAAAGTTTGGCACATATACTCCACATCATATTCAGTCATAAAAACTAACAAGGCCCTGGAATTTGATAGAAAGTAGACAATATGGAAGATGTATTGCTGAGTGAAGCAAGTCAGGCTATGAAAGAGAGACATTGTATGTCTCCACTTAATGTATACCAACTGTCTGCACTCTATGGTAGAGGTTGACCATGCTTTGAGTCCCAGACCTAGTAGCTAACTTTGTCACTTTCTCTTTCTGGCTAAATTAAAAAATAATAAAATAATTTTTTTTTTTGGAGAGGTTT